TGATGGCTATTCAGCAATTGGCTTCTGCTGTTTTGGTTCAGAATTGCTGCTGCTTCTACCTTTGCTATTATTTCCCCCAAACATATTGTCACTATGTTTCTAGTCCAAGATTTGCCCAGCTTCTAGCACTTACTTGAAAGTTGACTGAACCATGTGCTCAATACACTCTGGCCACCCAGGACTTACCACTCCAAGGTGCTCACCATCTCCAGCCCAGAGTTTAATTTTAATCCTAGGGTGACTCCTTTCCTCTGTGCAAAAGATGTTGAGTTATGCTTTCTCTGATGCTCTAGTTGACGACTTAGGCAAAGGGCAAAAGCTAGACACTTTGGTCCTGCTGAGGAGGTCTTATATTAGATACTTAGCTTCCTTAGGACTAGGTAACAGGTTTCCCACTTCTGCTAATGACATCTATTGAACGGCCAGCCACATCTGTCTTTCTCTTGAAGCTAAGAGGTTCTAGAAAGGATTCCTTTGTGATTCTGCCTCTTTCAGTCTGGTCTGCAATCCTGTGATATGGTAAAGAGAAAATGAGCCTTGGAGCCATACCAATCTGAATTAAAATCCCAGTTTGGTCCCTTATTACGCTCTACAACAAAGAGGTTAGGAGCAGAGACCCAGGAGACAGAATGCTTGGGTTTAAACCCTAGTTCTGCCATTACTGACCGTTTAACTCTGGGGAAGTTGGCCTGACCTCTCTGAACTTCAGTTTCCTCTCCTTTATGATAGGGATTATAAGAGTCCCTATTACAAATGGTTAATGATGAAAATGTAATCGGTTAATGTGTGTAAGAAGCTTATGACTGTACCTGGCATGTAAAGTGCTGTGCTAAATAATCGTGACCTATTGTGATTATTAATCTTGGTATTGAATCTTTTACTCTAGTTGGAACTCAATATTAGTTCCCCTACCCCCTGTCAAACAAAGAGACATTATACTTCTCTTTATTTCTGTGATGGTATCTATCTTCATTAGACTAGGCCCATTTCTGATATTTCTGCTTCCCCATGTGACTGGTGTTTGGGTTCACCTTTTAGGAGGTTGATGTGGAGAGACAGATATGACAGAAGCTCTAAATCCAAATGGACCTGGGTCCATGGTCTTTTCTGCCATGTTCTAGATCTATGACCTTGGGAAAGTTAATTTTTTGGAGACTTGGTGCCTTCATTTTTATAATGGGGCTTATATACCTATTTTATAGAGTTAGAAGTAAATAACGTAACAGATAAAACCTCTGGCTTACTGTGTTCATTTATTATCCCTTTTCTTGACCTTAGTACCTTTCTCTCTCTGGAAAAGGACTCTCTCCTCCCATTCACCCCTTCTCAAAGAGTAGCCTCTACTCCCTGTCTCAAGAATTCTCTAAATCTTTGAAATCTTGTTAGAAGTCACTAGTGACCTCCTCAATGTCAGATACTGTGATTAAATATTTTTAACCATTCTTTTTTTCCTTATCGCCTCCAACTCTTCAGCTTTTGGCATTATTTGCTCCTTAATACTTCCTCCACTTTTATATGTGACTTTGCAATATTTTGGCCTTGCACAATTAAAAAGGAGGAAAATTTAAAAAATAGATTTTTCTATTATTTTCTAATTCCTTCTTTAAAAGGTATTCCAAAGAATTGTTTTTGCCTTCTCATAACACTTTCTTTTAATGATCTCACAGTTTCAATCACTGATAATTTAAAAAATAGATTTTTCTATTATTTTCTAATTCCTTCTTTAAAAGGTATTCCAAAGAACTGTTTTTGCCTTCTCATAACACTTTCTTTTAATGATCTCACAGTTTCAATCACTGATTCCTATTTGTATGACTCTTTTGCCTTACTTTCCACTCCGATCTTTCTCTTTGACCCTCTGGATTCTTGATTTCAACCATTTGTGGAAGGTTCTACCAGGGATCATCACATCTAAATATCTTTCCCCCATAAAACAAAACAAAACGAAAATCCTCCTTGGGATAACAGGGCCTGGGTCATGATGGGAAGGAGGAAGTAAAGTTGGGATGAGGAACAGATGTTAGACAAAGATCTTGAGACAGTGATGGTGACTTGTGAAGATTCCCACAAGACACACAAGAAGAAAGTCTGTCCAGGCAATTAATAATTTCAGTGTCTCAAGAGCAATGTTTGAAGAGAGGCTGACTTGAAGGCTTGCTACCAAGTTACATGCTTAGAATTCCCTAATCCCTTGGACTGGGCATTCCACAGATCTCCAACTTGAAGGTCATTGTTTAAATGACAGTAATTTGTAAGGCTTTGAGGGTGAGCATTTATGACATTGTTGTAAGTCTGATATTTCTCTTTTTGGATAATGTCATTGTTATTTTCTCTGTCATGGAGGCATAAAACCTTGAAGTCACTTCTGACTTAGGTTCCACTTAGCATTCGATAGCCAACTGACTTGTTAAGGTTAGTTATTTATACATCTGAAATGTGACTTTTATACGTCTCTATTTCATTCTTGTGTCCTCACCCCAGCTAAAGATTGCATAGTCTCTTGCCTGGACTATTGTTGTTATCTCATTATATTAGTTTTCCATAGTTGTATTACAATTTGCCACAGACTTAGCAGCTTAAAACAATTCATAGTTATCTCATGGTTTCTGTGAGTCAAGACTCCAGGCACAGCTTAGATGGGTTCTCTGCTTAGGGTCTCATAAGGCTGTAGTTAAGTGGGGGCCGGCTGAGCTGTATTCTCATCTGGAGGCTTGACTGGGGAAGAATCTACTTCTGGGCTCACTCAGTCTTTTGGAAGATTTCATTTCCTTTTAGCTGGAGAACTGAGGGCCCTGGCTTCTTGCTGGCTCTTGTCTAGATACTACCCTTATTTCCTAGAGGCTTCCCACAGTTTCTTGCCACATGAGCTTTCCCAACATGGTCATCCCATCACCTTTTTCTTATCCTATTAATTAGATACAATTCACAGGTCCCACCCAATGCAAGGGGAGGAGATTATTCACAAAAGTGTGAAGAGCAGGAGGTGGGGATAATAGAAGACCTCCTGAAAGTCTTTCCAGCCTACTGTTTTATACTTTACATACCTACTAGAATAATCCTTCCAGCTTTAAGTATATTATTTACATTACAAAAGTAACCAAAAAAGAAATGAGCACAGATGGGGAAGGTGCATACATACCTGTTTAAGTAATCTAACTCCTCACTATCATAGCAGAAAGTCAATAGATACTAAAACAAATGAATCTTAACAGAGAAGTATGACCATATTATTTAGTGATTTTATAAGTAAATACCATAAGAACTGAAAATAGGAATGGTTAAAAGTGTTGCTTCTGGAGAGTAAGGCTCCGAGTAA